GTACTTCTGGGAGTTCTCAGTCCACATATTGCTGAAGCCTACCTTCTAGGATTTTGATCATAACCTTGCTGGCATGTGAAATGAGTGCAATTGTACAGTAGTTGGAGCATTCTTTGGCACTTCCCTTATTTGGGATTGGGATGTAGACTAATCTTTTCCAATCCTCTGGCCACTGCCAAGTTTTCCATTGATGATGATAAAAAAATAGCGCACTGGTCCTTTGATATTGGGCTGTGGCACCAAGATGGGTGACATGACCTTTAGCCTGGATTGTTCCTTTTTGCACACCACACACAGAATGATTGAAGTGGTTCAAAAAGTCCCCCCCCAACTCTGCCTTGGCTGTCTCTAGCAAGCATGTCATTGCTAGCACCACTCTGGCAGCCACTGATGATAATTAAATTCTCTGCGAGCTAGCAAAAATTTAATGCAACTTTCTAGGCACGTCGAACACCTTACTACTCCCTATACCACCCCATGGCTGGAGTACAATGTGTTCCAGCAAAAATAGTGCACATCTTTATTAAATTTGGTGCATCCTGCTAGTTAGGTATGTAGCCTGGCAGCCATTGATATTGATGATAAAGCCTGCTAGTTTGGTACACAGCCTGTGTAAATTCAATATTTTGAATTCAAATAATGTATGATTTCCTTCCGTTCAAATCAAGGGGGTAATGTCGGTATATATATATTTTTTTTGGGGGGGGAGGAAGGTAAAAAAGCTCACATATCTCACAAAACACCACCAAGAGAGGAGAAATCAAACACCTTCACTGTTTTCACACCTTGCCTCTGCACACTGAGCAAAAGATCTGACAGTGCTGTTGGGCTTCCTGATTGGGTAGGACACCTACATGTCTTCACCTTTGTCTCTATAAGTGCAGTTTTTCTGACCTATAACATGACACATGAAGGAAGAAGGGGGGCCAGTGGCATACTGCACCTCTTCCTTCTGTGTATCTCCTCTACACATAGACAGAATTAATGAAATAGACATGTGAAACCTTACTACCTTTGACCTCACATAGCAAAAAAGGAAGCTTCCTTTCCCTTCCCCAATATGAGCCACTGCAGAATGGCAATATTTGGGTGAGGGCCTGTCTCAGACAAAATGTCTGCACTTTTGCAGGTGGCTTTTGTGCATATCTGTAAAATGTTCAGTACTGGAAAATGTGATAACTTTTTCATGGTTACATGCTCTGTTACATAAAAACAATATCACTAGATGGGTTATTTGTGACTTTGTGATGAATTAGCCTAGCCTGTTGTTATATGTTTGTGCTTAGCTTCCAACAGCGGAAAGACCTTAGTCTTCTGCAGAAATACAAGTTTTAAATTGTGTGTGAATTACAAAAATCATGACAGGAAAAAATTGGTGTCTTGATGTCATGCCAAAGAGGTACAAGAATCCTCAAGGAGCAGTCTTGCCATGCCACTCTTCTGTAGATTCTCAGCAATAATGAGGTTTTCTTTGCACACCTAGGCATAAATCCATTCAGTGATTTGTGTCTTCACTGTGCCAGTTGGTAACTCAAGTTACTGATTGACATTTTATGTGGCTTTTGGGACCATATTACAGTTTCAAACTGCAGACCTGTCCCTTACACACTGCAGTTCCCTTCCAGACTAAGAGCCAGCCTTTTATCTGGCTTTAAGCATTGCAGTCTTGTTGACAGACAATAGAAACTATTTCTGCCGAGCAATGAAGAACTTTTTTGTCCCTTACACCAATTGCCATTTTCTGTCACTTTCATATTGAGAAAACTGGTACACTATACTGTTAACCAGGTTAGTGTTACATCTGGTACATCTTCTTGTCGACTTGGCTGCAAAAGCAACTGCTGTGGGAGGCTCCTATGCATATAGGGTGAGTAGAATCAAATACTTGGTGGGCAGACCCTTCAGTTGTGATGATTCACAAACCTCCACCACCCCGTATTTAAGGCAGCATACCCTCAAAGCATGTTTGAGGAAAATATCATAGAATCATTGAGTTGGAAGGGGCCTATAAGGCCATCATGTCCAACTCCCCCTGCTCAAATTAAAGCAGATCTGACAGATGGTTGTCCAATTTTCTCTTTAATGTCTCTAGCATTGGAGTGCTATGAACAGCCATGTCTCTGTATGCTTCTCCTCCCAACAAAATAGGAGCTGTTTACTTTGACACAAGACAAAGGGGAGTGCAATATGAGAACGGCAACCCTTTCTCTGTAGAGATGGGAAAGACAATTCATCATGGACATCTGAGAAGAAACCAGAGACGAAACCATCATCATATACCTGACATGAATATAATGCAAAATGTGACCTGGTACAAAATTAATCAGATTGAACCTGTCCTCATCTAGTTCTGAAGAAAGATAATTATTGGACCCACTGGGAATGCTATGTTTTCAGTTGGCTTATACAACACCACTTCTATATCTTTAAGTGTCAAATTCATCAAGTAGGTGGTTTGTTCTTTAACCCATTTTATGTTCTTAGACTAGTTTAATGCAACTTGGGAGGAAACTGCACATTCCCAAGCTAAAAACTTCCTATGCATTGCAAGGTATAAGGGGAAGAAAAGATAGGAACAAAAAAATCACAACTCTTTCTTTCCTAAGTACTAGTAGTATTGTGAAGTTTTTCCTGTAATATAATATTCAAATATGAGATCTTCAGTGGAGGTCTTGTTGCATGCCCAACCACTGAGATGTGGGTCTGATGGTGAGTACACAAAAGAGTGCTTTTTCTGCAATAGGCAGTCAGCTGTAGAATCTCTTTTGAAGGAGCATCAGGCTGGCTCCATCCTTGCTGGACTTTCAATGGGCAGTCTTGAAAACTCTTTTAAAAATGGACTTATAAAGTTGTTTTTTATCTGCTTTTACCATTTTAAAAAGAATTTGGTTTTTTTACAATGTTTTTTTAAAAGTCTTTTCTTGTGCATTGCTCTGCCCCCCCCCCAAAAAGAAATAAATATTTTCATTAAACAAACAAATAATGAAGGGAACTTCTTGAGTCTAAGGAATAGTATTTCATTCCTCTACATGTAGTATTTATTATTTATTAGTAATATTTATTTACTTCCTCTAAACATTATGTTTCCAGTGCAGGAGCTATGGGTGCTCTCCTCAAGCTATCTTGACAATTCTGTGAGATCAGACTGAAAGAACAGGTCACCCAGGATTATCCAGTGTTTCATGACGGAATGGAGGCCAGAGATTAAATTTGCCCAAGATGGAGTCCACTGTAGCCCCATCTGACTTATGACAATGCTTTCCAGGTTTTATGAGGTAGAGAAGGCTCAAAAATGGTTACCATTCTTTTCAGCAGGGGCCATCATGGGACTGTACAGCTTGCCCATGTTTACACACGGACTCTACTTTGGGATCTGCTCCTCCATTTCAGAGCTTGTTTAGCACAGCCGTGTACTCAACAAGCTCCTGCACATTTGGATGGTATCATTAATCCCAATGGCAGAGAGAAGCTATAGTCTAGAGATACGCCTATGTAGTGAATGAAGCAGACCTAGCTGGTGAGACAGCTCCTCACATTCCTTTCTATCTGAGCACTCTCTATGCCCTGCCAGAGTCTACTGTTATGTTGAAAGTGGTATTAATCCAAGGTAAGGCAATTGGCAATTGGCAAAAGAGACCTTTTTTTGGTAGCATCCTGTCTTTGGAATTCTTACCCCAGTGTGGCTGATCTAACATCTATTCTGATATTGTTCTCTCATGCCTTTTACATTTCTTGATCTGGTTTTATTGCTGCTTGGAAATGGCTGTTTCCATTCTTTTCTGTTTGATTTGTTTATGGTCATGCTTTTTAATTTTTATCTGTATACAGTATATGGGAACCATTGGTAAAGCCTAGAAAGAAATAAAAGCAAAGAGACATGCATAGTGAATCATCCTCCTCATCTTCACCAGAGCTTTATCTGAGTGCTAGTATGGAATATATCAGCCTCCACGTTTTTTCAATGGCTATTTAGGTGAGTTGACTCTGGAAGGAGGTTGCAGAAAAATCTCACCTTTAAAAGACAGATCTTATCGTTTGTGACAATTAACAGTTATATTTTTCCAGACAGAAAACACAAAGTTCAAACAGCCTAATTACCTTAGAAACACCCACTTATAGTTGGAGTAATCATCTGAGAGATAAAGAAAAGTATTTTTTAAAAGATGTATGCAATTAATTCTCAGAAGTCTTACAAACTGTGTATAATACAAAGGCTTACACTTGAAAATAAGAATAAAGGGATTTGGTCTTGAAGTGAACAAAGGAAACAGGGAACAAATTAGTACTGCAAATCTTCCAATGACCCTGCTTAGGGGATTGTCCCCAGAAACATTGCGATGGTAGCTCATCCCAAAAAGAAATATCCTAAAGATATGATTTATTTGATTATTATTTTTTTTAAAAAGGATCATATTAGAGGTGTATGTTATGTTGAAATTAGCCCTTTTACTCTCTAGTTAACAGGATGTTTCAAAATACTGTATGAGCTATTTGACCAAATATAAAATGTCACCATACTGCAGAATACTCCCTGAGATCCGTTATTAGTGGCATTACTGGACAACATCCAAAGCACAGTAACTGATAGACAAGAAACACTGATACGGGATCCTCAGTGGGAAGATCAGCAATGGCAGACATACTTTGCTGAAAGTTCACTTGACTGCTAATATTCCCTGCCAGATGCAGCTAAAAGGACATGTCGAGTGCTTTTTAGACACAATCCGTCTGGGGTCACAGTGAGGCCCAAGAGATTTAAGCAGCATCTCACAGACAGTTTAGAAGACATTTCCAGAATTCTTCTGCTATATCTACAAATGCCCTGGGCAAATGGGCAAAGCATGTATGGCAGGGAAAAAATGATATTGCAAGTGTGGACTCTCCAGGTCTAGCATTTCACTCTAACGTCGGTTTCTTCTGCTTTCCTACAACATAGCCTGCAAATATTCCTAAATTGTATATGTGATGATCAAATAAGCAACAATGTCAGAAAAACTTACCTCTTGCCTTTTGAAGTTCTGAACATACTCTTCAAACTGTTCATCTTTTGTTTCATCAGCTTTACCCAGCTTCTGAAGTACCTATAAGAGAAAAAAAAGACAGAACAGTGCTACCTTGAAAAGAACATCCAAAATTTTCAGTGGAATAATAGCATTATTTTAACTCTCTGATCCATTATCTTCCTGTAGCATTTTCGTTTATACTGTGCTATGAATCTATAACATGCACTGCAGTGTAAAATAATCTCAAATGCACATCCATGACTCTATAGTTTGAAACTCAAAAGCCCAAGAGGGGAATAGATATACAAAGCATCCGCCTGTTTTATGTGCCTGTGTGGGTGTCTTGGAAAGGATCTTGTCTTGTTTTTATAAAGCAATATATCTTCCTGTCAATGAATAATCCCAAAGGTTCCATTGCAGCCGAGGAAGGGAAAAGTTCTGTCAGAATTAATAAACCTCTACGCCTGCACATGGTGCTATGAACCAAAACTTCATTAGCTTTTTCTCTACAGGTTACAGTTCATTAGACAGGACAGTAACCAACATTAGTCTAGTCTGGATGGAATTTTAAAGACACAGTAGTGAAGAAAGTGTAAAATCTTTAGAACTATTTGACTTCTAATGAGGTATGAAATAATTTTAAACACAGATAAGTGAGCTTTTGGGCTTGGCATCCTCATTTCTCTGCAAGATGTTTTCATTGCACTTAGTAATAGGTGCAGTGGTGCCTCGCTTAACGAGCGCAGTTTAACAATGAATAGCGACCTGTTTTTTGTGATCGCATTGCGATGTTTTTTAAACAGCTGATTGGCTGTTCCAAAATAGCTGCCGCATCCACAAAATGGCCGCCCGCAGCATTTTTGCGCCCTGCCCTCGCTTACCGGGCAGCAAAAATGGCAGCCAGATGGAGCAGTGAGTTTTTCCCCAATAGGGGAAAAACTGTTTAATGCGTTCCTATGGGACCCTCCCCCCCCCGCATAGCGACGAATCCGGATAGCGACGTTAATCCTGGAACGGATTAACGTCACTATATGGGCCACCACTGTATAAGCTAGTTATAACTACTGCTACTGTCACTCCTATAAGGTGGAAGAGCGAAGGCTGAAAACCTACTGTTCTGGTGTTCAGAAGTATCATGCATAGCCCTTGTTCATCAACTTATTGTATGCATTTCATGTTTGAGAACTTATAGTAGAGCAATATAAAAATACTGCACTCCCAAGCCAACTACACCAGAGCACAGAGTGCTGTCCTCTGAAGATGCCGGCCACAGAGACTGGTGAAACGTTAGGAAGAACAACCTGCAGAACACGGCCAAAGAGCCCGAAAAACCCACAACAACCAATATAACATGATTTAGCTTTAAAAAGTATTGTATACTAGAGTGCAGACTATTAAAACAATATATAACAAATTAAAATGCATACAGATTTCTTGCCTCCCAAAAGATGAATGAATAAGACAAACTTTTGCATAAATGATAAGATGTTTTCTGTACAGCTGGGCACAAATAAAAATAATAATTGAAAAATTCATCAAAAATTACTAATTCATTGATTCATATTCATCTGAATCGATACCCCTGACAAATACAATCAATACATTTTTAGTGATTTTTGATTTGTTGATTCGGTCGGCTATAAAACATTGCCCAGGCACCAGGAGATATCAAAATTGTAGAGAGACTTCCCCTGACTCTTCTCTACAATACCTCCACATTTGGTGAAACTGGGTTTCAGATGACCAAGTTATACACCCACAAAGAGGCCCTCCCTAGGAAAGTTCTCCCCAGGCACTTAGAGATACCAAAAACACAGAGAATCTTCCCATGACTCTTCTGTACAATCTCTCTGAGTTTTACTGAAAATTGGGTTTCCCCAACCCCATTGCTAAAGGGAACCTTCCTGGGGGGACCCACTTTGGCGGTGTATAACTTGAATGTCTAAAACCCAATCTTCACTCAACTTGGAGGGATTGTAAAGGATAGTCGAGATAAGCTTCTCTGCAATTTTGACATCTCTAGGTGCCTGGAGGGAACTTTCCAGGGGGGGCACTTTGTGGGTGCATAACTCAGATGTCCAAGACTCAATCAAATTGCTGGGTTGTAGGGGAGTCAGGAGATTCTTTCCTGCAATTTTGGTGTCTCTAGGCGCTTGGGGGGGCTATTTTCTTTGGTATTAAAGGAAATAACAAATTGACAAATCAATGCATCAGTTCATCAGAAAAAAATCTTTAAATTCGTTATTTGCGATTCTTCAACCTTGATGACTCACAAATCAAAACAAATTGCCCTTTTTCTGATTCATGCCCATCTCTAGTTATGTGCAGTCATGTTGCATCCAAATTATGGTGAGTCATGTAGGGTTTCCAAGTTATGTGACGTATTTAAGAAGCAGATTTACCACTGTCACAGACCCCAGTAAGCTTCCATTACCAAGCAGTAATTAGAACCTAGAGTTCCTAAATCCTAGTCTGACATCCCAGCTACTGGACTTCACAAGCTTTCAAGTTCACACGGATCACGAGAATGCACTTAGGAGTAGAGCCTGGAAATTTGTTCTTTATGGAATAGAAGTTCCAGAATTTCCCAGCCAGCACAGGGAGGTTTGTTCAAATTTTTAAGCTATAGAGAGGCTAAGAGCTGGAAGTTTGGGAGAGACCATAGCAAAAGGTACAGGAGACAGAGACACCTTGTTAAAAATTTTAAAGGTGACTCCCAGGAGGGGTCCTGAGTCTAATAAGGTTAAAAATTACAGCTTTAAACATTGAAAGGGTCTGAAAATGTCACTGGAGGCTGTTCAACTTTTTAATGAGTGTAATATCAGTTGCCGTTTAAGGGAGATTGTTCTTTCTATACTAAACAAATACATTTTAATTCTATCAAATATTATCCTGAATATGCATACTTAGTATAGGACTGAACATGTTTGCCATATTCCTAAAAATCTCTACATTGATTAATGGGTGGTGCCACATGGGCAACACACAGCACCCTTGCAAAGTCTAATGGGATAAAGGGATTGTGATAGCTACCTGCTAATGTGATTGTCAAAAAAACTGGGAGCAAAACCTAGCCTTTTCAGCAACAGAGAAAAAACCAAAAGGGAATCAAGCAAGATGTAAGAGATAACATTTCTCCTCCACCAACTTCTAATTCTTTTACAGTACTGTATACACAAATAGCATTCTACAAGGAAGAGTAGATGCAGGGAGCCACACAGTCAAATCACTGCATGCTTTCTATATTATTAAACTTTACAGAGAGAAGAGGAGGAAGATGGGGGGGAGCTATTGTTTTAGGAGCAGTCCGACATGTCCTATAACATTTTTCCAAGGTTCATTCAGAGAATTAGAATATCATGCTCTTCCCTGATTTTATATGGTTTCATGTGTTGCCGAAGTAGACTGAGTAAGTTGTGTATTTATTTTTATCTAATACATCTGGGATAAATCTAATATTCATAAAGTACAGGTAGCGCCCCCTCCCAACATTTAAGATAAACATGTTCCCCCCTTGTGTCTTCTCATTCAACATTTCCTCATAGTCTTGTTCAAAACCGCTTTTAGGCTTTCTCTCCAGCCTGGTGATCCTGAGACACACAAAACTTTCCACTCTAAGCAGTGGAAGAAGACAGAGAATACTTAAAAAGAGATAAAAGACATGCTTGAAGACAGAAAAGAAAGGGCAAGATAATAGTGGAACAGTAGAATGAAGGAAAGTACAGTGTGGATGAGAAAAGGGTTAGAAAGAAAAAGCATGAATAAACAGAGAAATGCTTGTGTTAAAAAGCAAGCTGACTAGAGCTGAAGGCAGTGGCTCAACAGATGTTACAGTCAATGCATTCTGTGTTCCTCACCAGCATGTCTTCACTGCTCTTCAAATTGAGATTCTAGGACCTTCTTTTTAGGCATTTAAATCAGAGCTGTCTTGAGCCATGACAACATCTGTTTTTCAGTTTGGAATTTGGCTTGAAGTTAATCTTTTCTTAATCCAGAGACTGTTTAGGGCAATATCAGAACAACACTCCTGTCATCACCTAGCAAAGCTCTAAACCTAAAAACTAGAGATGGTGTTGTATTGTATATATATTTAAGTATGCAGTAAAAAAAAGCAGTGGAAGGCTCTTCTCACAAGAAAGGTGGGGCAAACGATGGTGCTCAGACTATGGAGGAAAACATAGGAAATGCCTTTTATGAAAACCATGGGTCTCAAAGCCTGACTCACTGTAGTTTTCATCAAATCATACTCTTCTTGTACCTTTCCCAACTGTCACTAGGGAGCCTTTCCCCTTAGTTAAGAGAGATAGAAGTTCTCTCCCACCCACCTGTAATCTGAGAAAAGGGCAAGATGAAAGGCAGATGGCACCTAGAAGCTACTCCCAACCATTTCCAAGAAAGAGAACCTTCCCCCCCTTTCCCACAGACTACTACAGACAGAAGCATCAAGGCCAAACCAGGAGATTTGTTTGAGACAAAGCAGTAATTGGTACTTTTCCACATCCAAGGAGCATATACCCAAGGTCAACCAAGTTATTTTGATACCTGAGGCAGAAAAAGGCATAAGGGTCTATCACTAGCCCTCAACAGGAAAAATTACACTAGCAAGAAAGTAAATACTTAATTATTTAATGCTTCTTTTCAACACCCAAAACATACTGCAAGGCAACTGCCTCACTCTGTCTAACAGCAGGGCTAGATTTCAGAGAACTGGTGGTGAGAAGACTTCATACAATGCATTTCTTCATTAAGAATATATATAAAACTCTTGGGGACATTCACATCAGCTCTTCCTTTCGTCTGCAGGCAACCTGTATTTTCCTAAGTAAGGCCTAGAAAGAAGCCAGAATACACAAACATGAAAGAGGAAATAGGCTGATATGTAAAGCCAGGGTTCGTGTGTGCTAACATGGTCCCCTAGCACTCATATTCTTGTGCCAGTAGCTTCTGAGCAAAGTGGATTTGGGTTGCTTTCCAGACTGTTCAGTGAACATCACACATCACCGACTGGCCTCTGAACACTGGGCACAGATCTCTATAGCAACCTAGCCATGTATTCTTCCCCTTAGGTAGGTTTGGCT